GATATCATTTTGACTTTTTAGCACATTTCATGCAGCCTTTTATCTTATACCAGGCTTAAAAATAAATAAATTCATGAATCATTCCATGGGCAAGTACCAAAGCCCATGTGGCAATCGTCTAAATGGTTTAATGTTTGCAGGAGATGGGAGGCTGTGGTGGGGTAACCATTCCTAGGGTGCCCATAAATCCTATCAGCTCCCCTGTGTCTCTGGGCCTGGACGCTGACACAGACAGGCCTTGAGGCAGAACTCCTATAAAATCAAATCTGTATCCACAAGAATCTGACGACGCCAGATTGCGCAGAAGGCTGGCGCTGAGGTTAATTTTACCTGAGTAAAGTCGTGTAAAGGACGGTCTCCCAGCTGACGTTTCCACGCAAACTGGGTCATCAAGGCACCCCAGGTTAAATCAGACTGACAGGAGCAATCACGAAACCAGTAGAAACACACGGACAGACAGTAACACGCCCCACCTTGACCAGCGACCGGGTTGCTCCTTCGTGGCCAGCGCAGCGGAGTTCCAGCTGCCTCGCCCATTGCTCGGCGGAGTCCTGGACCTTCAGCAGGGTGTGTCGTCTCTCTCTCGCGCGCTCTCGCTCTGTTTTACATCCGAAAAAAATAGGGGCTGGCAGCAGTGGTGAGCCTAGTTTTAAAAGCTGAAAGCAACGCAAGACTTCAGCCTCTTTTACACAACTCCTGCCCGACTCCCCTCTCTCCCTCTCTCTCCTTCTCTCTCTCTGTCTCTCTCACACACCCAAGTCAGACGTACACCCGGCTTCCCACTCCGATCAGCTGGCAGCGTAATGACGTGGCCAGCAACGAGAAGCGGACGTCAGAATCTACATGGATCCATGACGTGAACACGCATCGTGCCATTGGCTGATAATACAGTGGTCACCTCTTCCTGGTCTGCAGTCCACACAGTAATACTGCAAAACGAAACATACGGCAGAGGTGCTGGGCATATTGTTAAATATAACTCAGATACTGAAAAGGAGCTAAATAATGATATAATTCAAATAAATGTATGCACTCCTGATATAAACATTTACATGACATCACTTTCCACAATACATCTCAAGATACAAGATGAAGATCCAATGAAAGAATCATAAAATGTCTATATTCAACACAAAGGATTTGTCTGGAAGAAGCTGGAGAGATTTAGCTTTGTGAATGTGGTGTTTTCACAATCCCTGTTGTAAGACTACACTCAGAAATAGGACCATACCTTCTGTAACAGACACCAAGATCTTAGATTAATATGGACATTTGATTTCAAAAGAAACTTGAGTGAGTTCAAAATTTTAAAAATGAGATAAAGACTCCTCTTGCCTTTTGTAGAAGGAACATAAAGGAGAAATATCTGATATATTATTGACTGTGACAACATTGGTTAAATTCTGTCCAGATATTCCAAATTAGTTTATTTGTCACTCTAACAAAGTATTTAAAAACAGAAGAATTGTTGTTGTTTTTTAATAATTCATTCAGGTATTTTTTTTATTTGTCACACTTATAAGTTGCATTGCTTATAATATGTACGGGTCATTCTGCATAATTACCTTTAGGCTACTAGTAAAAATGAATAACATGAAATATAATAAGAAGATCAAATGGAAGGGATAGGTCATATAGGACTACTTTATATTATTTTAATACTACTTCTATGACAACTACTTGTTAGTCAGTCCTCACATAGCCCTAATGGGCAATAGGATCACTATGTAAAATAGAAAAGACAAACTGCTCTGTCACTCAGGGTTGTTTGGTATGAAGACCTTGTTGCCTCACAGTCATGTGCCTTTCTTGTTTTTTTCCACGTAGCCTGCTGAGTACACATTTGGGAATCTTTTGTTATGAGCTCACCACTCTAATAGCTGGTGGTTGTTTGGTTTGGGTTTAAATGTCTATGGTGAAAGTCATTATATGACATTTATTAATATTTTCAGGTGCTAAACCAGCCTGAAGAAGTAGCTGTACTTTTCACCATATTTAACAAAAAATAACCTGCTTCATTATGTAAGACGATCCAGTCGCTGTGCACCAACTGTGATACATATCTAGAGTGACTTTGAGATTACACACTCCAGTAAAACATTCACTCTAACTAGAATGAATGTAGCGTGTTTGTAAAAGCTATTGAGCTGTTCCTGAGAAATGGTCTGACCGGCAGATGCTAGTGCGTTTTCTGCAACTTCTGAAGAACAGATGGAGAAGTGCGTGAGTCACATCTTCCCCCACCACTCATAGGTTCACCAGAACAAGACATGAGCAGGGGCAGGGCTCACAGCACACAAAAACGCAACCAATCACATGACTATAGAAAAGCAAATAGTGAACTGTGGGTTGAAAGTTGTGTGAAAATGTATATAAGCTTAGCTCTCAAAACTAAATGTCTTATGTGTTGGCCTTAAACTTTCCATGTTTCCTGCAGCTGTGAAATATGATTTTGTCTTTATGGTCTCCTGACAGCCAACTTTCCTTTAAGAAGAAAGAAGTCTCTTTTAAGAAGAGGCCTTTAAAAACCACCTGTGTCACGTCTGCACGTCAGTGTGAACTTTGTCACTCCTGCATGGATAAATGTTATGTGTCCTCTCTGACTCAGCAACATGATTTATCTGCATTATTCCAGCTGTCATTACTGGAAGAGCTCACACTTGAGGGGTGGGAATTCAGAAGCTGGACAGACTTGTTTGAGCTCAGAGATCGAGTTTATTCTTAGCACTGCTGGGTAGATGGGTTTAACAGCATACGCAACGCAGCACAACATCCCAAAGCCAAATTTGGTTTCCTAGTACAGTAATTATTATTAGAAAGACTATATTACACGTCATACGTTATAAAAGATTTTACCTCAAAGGGTCAGACCTAAAGTTGTGTGTTTGTTTCTGTGTGTACATGTGTTTACAGAAATAACTGGTGGGGTACTGGATTTCCTCGAACAGGAATAGAGTGGAAACTCCCTGGGAAATACCACACTGTGTGCTGTGGTGTTTGTCAGAGGCGACACATGAAATCCTCCCCAATGCAGCAATTTAAAAGAACGTGTTTCACAATTCAGCTCCTAGTAAAAACATTAGCATACTGCTTTTTTTCCTGCTTGTCCTCTTCAGAGCAATGTACAAGGGTTTGCTTTCCAGAGAATTCATCAACAGTACAAGCTAAAGCAGTACTTTATAAAAGGCCTTTGACTTGCCTTCAAGGCAGCTATAATGGATCATATGACAAACCATCATGATTCTGTAGCTCACCTCATCTGTAAGGACTTTAATAGTTAGTTTCAGCTCAAATGTTTTAGTTCACTCATGCTGATGATAACCCATTAACTGAATATTTTCAATTACCACCCTCTGGTGTTGATAATATATTACAATAAGTAACTTAATAGCTGATACAGCAGCAGTCTTCAGAAGAAATGTAAATGGATTGTAATAAGGAAAAAATATATCGACACTGGGTAAATACTTGAGAGGCAAGAGGGAAATTTACTCAGTACAAAATCTTACTGGACACTCACAGACTTAACAGAGGATAATAAATGATGGAGATGCCTCAATGAGGTTGGAACATTTGTACATACAGTCTGGGGATGTTCACTGGTTTTCCCATTCTGGCACAAAGCGCTATAGTACTTAGGAAATTGGTTGGGGTCCACAGTGCCTTCAAATCCTCAGCTTTGTCTCCCGGGGAATAAGACAGAAGTTCCACAACTATCAAACAACCAGTTAACCTACAGTATGTGGCCATTGGTTCGGCAACTAGACTGTTCTTAAAAAACTGGAAATCCTCCAAATCTCCAGAATAAAAAGATGGACATAATGACCGCTTCTTTCGGGAAAATGATGGGAAGGATTAACGAAGAGCAAAAGGAGGCAGAAATGAATAAGTAGGGTGCAACTGGTGCTTTCATGCCCGTATAACAAGTTGTCATTTAATTTCAATAATTTCTTACTCTATATCTCAAAGTATAATGAATGGGTAGTTGCTGCTTTGTATACAGTTAATTTATGATCAATACAAAAAACAAAGAGATTATTATAAGTATATTATAAGTCGGGACAGTGGTCTCTACAGGATAAGCAGCAATGATAATGGCTGGATGGATGTTTTAATCTTTTGAGCTCCAACTAAAGGCCAGCTTCTTCTGTCCTGCTCAAAATATCGCTCAGTATGATCAATGACTGAGGGACCAGTGCCCATATTTATTCAGGGGCTTAAAATAGTTTTGACCAAACACGTCTCACGCTGCTCTAATTTCATCTGATAGTCATGTGTGCCTGCTTGTATGGAGATTTGTGTTCACTGTGATGATAGGAACCATGCAGGTGAAATCTTCCATTTGAATAAATTACATTCACTCTCTGGCATCTTTAGTGCTTCAGTGCTTCCTTTAAAGGCACACACTCAGACTGAATGAGCTACAGTGTCACTTTGTGGTAGTTTTGTGTCGTCTTTAGCCCTACCGTAGCTGTTTTATGTCTTTTTGTGAGTTTTTTTAGGCAAGTTGTGTGTCTTTTTGCAGTTGTTTTGTTTCTTTGTGTTTATTTTGTTTCCTGGTTATTATTTTATTTAACAGTATTTGAAACTGCTGTTTCTCTCTGTGGCTCTTTGTGGTAGGCCTACTTCTTAAATCCACTGATCAGAGTAAGCTACAGAGCGGAGTAGGCTACATACATGGAGCAGAGCACATTTCAGGTCACATATATCAAACTTTAGGATAAACAGGCGTAATTGCACTTGCAAATATTTCAGTAGTAAATGAATCCACGCTTCTTCTTTATCTTAATTTAAAGTGCTAGACCTATGAGCATGACGACGCAATATACGTGACAATATTAGACGCTAGAGGGTTATAAAAACGACGCTCAAGATGAGTTCTGGTCGGGTTTGGCCGTCACATTCTCGGGATTCGGTCGGGTTCGGATATAAATACACGGCATGGACCACATACACGGATAACAGTACCTCATAGAAGGTGTGTCCTGTTGCCATGGAGACGCGTCACTGGGCAACGCGGCGGTGAGACTGCGGTGACCGGAACAAATATCAAAGCTAGCCATGTAGCAACCAACATTTTCAACTTTTTCTGACTTTTCTGTGCAATGAACAAACTTTTTTTTTTTTAATTGTGGTAAATAAAGAAGTTTGTTACGGAACTGAAGAGTCTCTCTGGACACTCGCATGAAGCTCCATTTGTTGTGAGTCCAAAAGATTTCCATGTCTGTTCTGTTAGCTTCCATGTGCGTTTGTATAGTGTACAATTCTCTTAAAGACCGCTACTGTGGATGTCCCAGTTGAATGGTCTCGCTGGAAATGAGAGGATTCGTCTGAGAAGCATTTAAGCACTGTGTGCCAGGAACACATCATGTCAGAAGACAAAAACTGCAAACTGCGCCAGCCATCCAATAAAAATAAGATAAAAAAGAAAAGTAAAAAAGCCACTGCTTCTACTCCTCCTCCAGAAAATACAGGTAAATACACTTTTTAGTGATCCATTAAAAAATAATTTAAATATTACATTTTAAAAGTACTGCACTCAAAATATTCTAAATGCAATATCATGTACAGTACTTATAGTAGACTACTCACTATGTAAGAAAATAGACAGTCAGTGGTACAGTACATTGTAGGCTAGCATTAATTATTAGATGCATGTTTCTGTTGTATTTGGTTGAGATTGAGCTGATTGTAAATATTGTTTTCACTGTTGCATAGTTTAATTTGTAACAGTGCATCATAGTATATAAGCTCAGAACTGTTTTTGTATGTACAGTTTAATCATTAAACTAGTAACTGCCGCTGCCAAATAAAATAAGTAAAAGCACAATAAGCTGCCCTCAAATGTGGTGAATCTGCATAAAATGGAAATAATCTAGAAAAGTAGGAGTACCTTAAAGCTATAGCACAGTGCTTGAAGAATAGATTTGGCACTTGAGGCTTATTGCAATAAAGGAAATTAAATTATTTTGCCACAATTTTCATTAAAATCCTCTAGAAGGAGACTATAAAATACACCCTCATGATTAAATGCTGCAACAAACACATATTCTCATATAAACAATCACATAATGAATCCTGAAAGCCCTAAAACCTCTCTCACAGCATGCATATATAATTAGTCATGCTACAAAGTTAAGTAGCACAGACTGAACCAATAAGAATCAGAAAAACAGTCATTCAAGCTGACCCTACTGCACTGTCTCTTCTGCAGTTCAAATGAAGGCCACTGTAAATGTACACAATTCAAATAGTAGTTTGGATCATGTATTAGTGGAAGGCTCCCTGTAGGGTTGAATAGGTCATTAAAAAATTGGCCCCCAGTGTTGCTGCCCCTCACCAGTCTAGTGCAGTTCATTGCTATAAATCAAGCCATTAGACCTCTAACTCCTGGAACAGTCATAAATATAAAACCCTCAGCTTTGCCTGGATCTGTGCAGATGCCTATATGTTTACAGTTTGTTGCCTTCCTATAGAGAAACCTCAGGCTGTATCTTTGCCTCCTGAGTCTTTACCAGTGTCCCTGCTGCCCCTTCAAAGTCTGAGTCACCTCCGAGCCAAGCTACCCAAACGCAGAGCTACCAGTAAGAAGGATGGAAAACGACTCGTTGGCAGTGGCCAGAGGAACACAAAACACTCCAAGGATTCACTAGCCCTGCTGACAGCAACAGACACGACCAGCGACCATGGAGCTCTGGCGCAGGGATCTATGGCAGAGCTCAGCACCCAGGTCACGGAGAGCCTGAGGTGGGAGGGAATGCTGGAGGATCCCCAGGCTGAGGAGAAGAGGCTGGGGCAGTACAGGGTCAACAGGCGGCAGCGTTACATCACACACAGAGAGTCACTGTTAAAAGAAACCCAGGATGCCATGAGAGAGACTTTTCCTACATAGTGCTGAGAAAAAGGCTGTGATTGGATCTGAGCAGCAGGCGACTGCATCATTACTGCACCTGAGCACAGACTGAATTAAAGAAACAAATGAGAACCTTATACTGGTAGTCATCTCAGGCTATATCTTCACAGTTTAAAACAGATGTAGCCACTGTGAGGCACCAAGTGAAGCTTCTCAGGTGACATAAGATGTTGGACTGATGATAAACTGAGCAACATCCTTTAAAGCACATGACAGAAATGTTTTCTTTGCCAGATACAAAGTACAGTGGGTACGGAAAGTATTCAGACCCCCTTAAATTTTTCACTCTTTGTTATATTGCAGCCATATGCTAAAATCATTTAAGTTCATTTTTTTCCTCATTAATGTACACACAGCACCCCATATTGACAGAAAAACACAGAATTTTTGACATTTTTGCAGATTTATTAAAAAAGAAAAACTGAAAAATTTAAGGGGGTCTGAATACTTTCCGTACCCACTGTACATATCCACAGCGCCCACAGGGCCTTTACTGCCTGTTTAAAGCTTCACCGTGAATTTGCACTGTTTTTCTTGTGCTTTTGAATTTTGTAACACTTCCACAAAAGACCCAGAGTTGATCTGTCAAGACTGAAACCCAATCGGGTTAACTGAACCCCCCCACGTGCTATGTTTTCATTCCTTGTGGGGACTTTACATTGACTTACATTTCCTATAGAGTTATCCTAACCTTAGCCATAACCACTACTTGCCTAAGCCTAACCTCAACCTAACCTTAAACCATGTTGCCACCTTAAAATTAAATGATATCCTTGTGGGCACCAGCCTCTGGGCCTATATTAGCCCCAAAATAAGAAAGAGTTTCTATCTGTATATTTTTCCATCAGCAATTTCTCAACTGATTATCCAGAACATCTATTATATGACGATATACAGTATATTAGAGATCATGATCTAAATAATGTTAAACTTGCTCTGTGCAACAAAAAGCAAAATATAAGTAATTGGCACTTTCAAGCCTAAAATGCTGGAAATGGTCATGACAAGTCTGTACCTGTTAAACAGACTGATCACGTGGCTTGCTGCCGAGAGTGAAGCTAAAAGTAAATGCTGAGGCAGAAAGAGAGGTGTGAAGTGAAGACATAAATCAACAGAGAGGGAAAAGAGAGCACAGCATTTCTTTTGTCTACATTTTGTTGTGCTACCTCTGTGTGCTGTTTGTCGGAGGCCTATTATTCCCTTTTGCTGTGTTTAGTTACTGTTGCCTGTTTCAGCATCTCTACCTCAAAGAGCTGAACACTGCCCCTGTGTGTTACTAATCCCCCTTCCGACTCGGTGGCCAGACCACGTGCACGATTGCAGTGGGCATTATGGCCACTTGTGTTTTTCCAGCAGCCCAATCCAAGTAAACGGCTGCTCACACGCCTTTAAATATTAACAGCAGAACATACTGAGGCACCTTAAATGTGATGTCTCTGGACTGTTACTGAAATACTTCTAGAGACATCAAATTTTTAAAAGCATCTAATGAAAAAATAACAAATATTTTAAAGAGCTGCATCCATCTGAGGTATCTGTTTTTGCATGGTGGAGTCCCCTTTGTTGTCTTCTGTCACTTCTGAATCAGATCAGCTGTCCTTGGTGAGAGTGGCAGTGACAAGGAGACAGATGAACAACACTGGCTTCATGTCAACACAGACAATGTGTTGAGAGGAAAAGACATGGCAAAGTTTAGATCAGGACGGCTGTAGCCAGCTCAGGTCGTCTGATCTGTCAGGGAAAGCAAAAAGAGGGGACATCCTTTTACCTTTCATTTGTTACTAACATGAGTTACAGAGCTGAACATCTGATATTCCTAAAAATACATACACGATGATGTTTGAAAAATCCAGAAGGTCATTTAAACCAGCAATATTCTGGCCACTTGGGGGCAGTGGAAACAAACTGCGAACACCATTGTTAATAAAATGGTCTTTATGTACACAACAAACAGATATTGAACATCATTCATTTGAAGTCATGTTTCTGATCAGCTGTTGAGTCTAAAATCCAATATTCACTCTTTTAACTCAGTTTTTCATTTCTACCAGCTGTTTATGTAAACGTGTGGCCCTGTAGCTGTTATTTTTTTCCATATGTTCACCAGCTAAGTCACTGTGTCCATCTGCTGTTCGGTGCTGAGCAGGTAGTGTACAATGGGTGTTTAGAGCTTGTGAGCTAAAAACAGCTGCCTGTGGAGCCAGCGATACAAGAGCAGTGAGAACAAACCAAAACAGTAATGTTGTGACCTGACAGTTGAACTTTGAGCTGAAGTGCCAAAAAGCTTGTTTTCACATTGTTACTTGCAGCAACTTTAACAACACTTACCACTTTGAAGAAGATATTTCTATAATCTTCATAGACTTTTCTAACCATCCAGATGAAAATATACTTGATAAAGAAAGAAAATTCTCAAGTTGTTTTTCTTTGACATATGTGCTTACTCAATCCGTACCGCGTAGACCACAGTTATTTTATTATTATATGTTACTTTATAACATTTTATATCTTTATAGAAAAAAGAGCAAGGGCATTTATCATTTCTAGCTACCCACTGTAGGAAATAGGAAATACAGTCACAACCCTTCTGTCATGCAACAGACATAATGTTTGATCATCCATATGGTTAGAAGAGTATGTAACTGCAGCGTCCCTGTGGGAGTCTAACTGGGTTTCCATCGCACTCCCTTCATTTCCTGTCAGCCCTCTACTGTCTCTTAGCTAATAAAGCCTGTATCATTATGACAGTTACCAGTCATTAATCTGAGCTGCAGTGTTCCTGCAATTCCCCAATCGCTGGTAGAGGTCCATAAACATTATTACAGGCCTTGCTCCCCTTTGTTTGTTCAAGTTAAATTTAAAAATCTTGTTTTATTTATGTAGCTCAATACCACAAATCCTAAATGTTCTCAATCTGTACAGCACATAGCACCATAAATCAAAGTTGTCACATTTTCATGAACACACCCAGCCATCAGAATTATCCATTGTGACCAGTTCCACAAAACAGTGATTTTATATCCTGTGTCACAGCAAAGAAAAATGCTCAGGGATAAGGTTATACACTGTGTATATATATATGGCATAATATGCAACAAAATTATAAAAGATTGGACAGATACTCATTGTTTTATTATTTTATTTGTTTATTTCAGAGTAAGAAGAAAGAAAAGGTTAAATAGCCGTATAATTTGGTAAAGCAGACATTTTTATTATGTTGTTCATCTTGTGCTGAGTGTTTAACAGTGTCTGGTCACTTTAAATTCATGCCTGCCTTATGACATAATAGGTTATTCATCATTATATATATAGCACATGTACTATTCATGTTCATTCACTCATTCCAGACTTTTTATATGGTGTCTAAACTTTGTAAGTGCATTGCAAATGTATGAACAAACTATATCAGAACAGCTCGTTTTTTTCTTAACGTAGGAACAAATCTCTTTAAGTCACATATGGTGTGCTCTCGCATAAAACTTGTCCCAGAACTCAGAACTCACTATTTTTATGGCAGTTTCTCCTCAATTTTTAAAGAAAGTGCGCAGCAGCACCAAGAAACACGAAGAGAGCGATAAACAGAAGGGATAATGCCCCTGGTAGGATGGGATGACATGGAGTCACTATCTAGCTGTTTTATAGTGACAGGTGACAGTGTGCAACAGTGTCCGTGCTTTACATTATATCGTGATCTTCTTCTGCTGGAACAAACGAACCAGAGTGGGTCCTTTGCAGCTTGTATCGGTTTGGATTTTGTCTCTGAAATACGGTAGGTGAATCCTCTCCATTCTGGACTCCCTGTCATAGTAGGGGCACACCTTTAGGTGCTCTGAAATAGATGCTGTGTTGCTGAAGCACCAAGTGTCCACAGGAGAGAACAAGGTGCTGAAGTGCCAAACCTGAAGTCACAGAAAGAGACAGGAAAGAGAGAGAGATAATTGAATGGTCAGCCCTGATCCCAAGGATGCCATTTTTACTTGAATTTTTGTTTTTTGATGGTACTGCATGATGGATAAGAATCTAGTGCTTAAACTTGGCACAGTACTGCACTTTAAAACTGCCCTGACACCTCATACAGTAAATTGTCCTGACAGACACACTGGTTCTTGGCTCACCTTCTGCTTCACCCTCCACTTGGCTCCACCGTGTGAGTAGGTCTTCCTCTCCCAGTGGAGGGTGACCATCCCTCTCTCCTGCAGCAGAGACGAGCACACCTGCCTCATGAGCCGGGACACCAGAGCTAGCTGGGACAGGGACAGACTGTCCAGGAAACTGGCCATGTGGCACAGGACCTCGTACGGCAGTGAGCTCAGAGAGTCCTCCCCTCCTCCTGCCTGACCTCCTCGCTTCCTCTGGTCGGAGGAAGAGCCCACTGAGCTCCTAGATAGCTGCGAGGCTTCACACAGTGAGACTGTGATGGAGGGATGCAGCCTAAGGCAGCCCAGATCTTCACTGGAAACAAAGTTGAAAACTGTGAAGCTGTGTTTTTAAAAGGTGATTTATATTATACTGCCACACATGACTGTAATTTATCTGCAGAGGATTAAGAGGCTTGCTGTTCAGTTCCAGCAATGTAATATTGATGCTACTTGAAGCGCCCCCGTGTTGTTAGACCTGCAGTTACACTTAGCCCCAGGGTGGTTTTGCCCTGCTAAAGATATCCAAAATAAACTCTTGCCTTGGTAGGCAGTCTTTTGTTGTGCCTTTGGCTCTTGTTTTGTTCATGCTTGTGATGGCTTACATTCGTGACACATGCCATGACACATTGTCAGGCAAATACTAGCTGCTTGGTGTTTGTTTACCTCTCACCTACTTTTCACTTCCAAGAACTCTCTAAGGCCTGGGAAAGATTGCAGCTATACAACACAGTAAAATGTTTCTGCTTTGTTTAGAAAAATTCTTAATAGGTGGTGTTGCAATTTCTATTGCTCAACAGTTAGTAATGTATCAAAAGAGCTTTGCACTATAATGCTGTAGGACTTGACGGACAAGTTTTAAAAAGGGGAGGGTCAAAATTGATGCAACACCACACATTTTGTCAAACCTTAGTGCCTACATTACCCACAGTGCAACTCAGCAGTACTTCCGGTGTCATGTTAGCAGCAGGTTTTTGCATGTGTATATGAAAAAGTGACCCCATACCTATAAACAACCTGAAACCTGAAATCTGACACAGACATGTCAACCACTGGGTGGCACTAAAGTTTTTCACATACTACAGTGACTTTAATCACATACCTGATTTAAAATAATACCAGCTGAGGTTATTTCTGCTTTCTAATTATACAAATTTTCCTTTTCCTCATATGAAATTTTTACACTATTGCTAGCTGTGATAGTTTACTTTAATTACAAGAAGCAAGAAAAAAGGTTCATCGGTACCACACAATGATAAAGATAAAATATTAGTTTTATCTCACTTGAAGTTGACAGTGGCTTCGTGTGTGGAGGGCTGAAACCTCTTCTGGCTGTAGGTGCAGCCCAGATACGCCAAGGGGCATCTCTGCTCGAACCATCCATTCACACACATCTGGATGTCACTGTGGACATTCCTGCATATGAAGGCGAACAAGATTAGAAAATTAAATATGATAAAGCTTGTTAAAACTATTTTGGTGAGCTACAATCAATATTAAACTAGAGGATACAGACGACCTGACTGTTAAAGTTTAATCTGGAATTTGTTACCTCTTATGCAAAGGATTTGGATAGAAACAACACAAAGAAACCCCACTTGTAATGTTTGCCATATTCAAGGCGCTGGAACGTGTGTCCACAGAAGAAGGTGAAGGCGGAGCTGGCCTTGTGGTGTCGACTGGTGACACTCTCCACCTGTAGCTGAAGGTGCAGCTCCAGTGGTTTTGCAGCAGTCAGGTCAGCCAGCGACGTGTTTCTCCGGAAAGGAGCAGACAGGAAGTTGTAGGTCTGTGTGCCTTCATCCTGTAACAGACTGTCTGTGCACAGCCTCTCTGCAATGAGGTGACCCCTTTGCTCGTTCTCCAGGGAGCACAGCAGAGAAGCCTGAGGAGCAAGCCAAACGCACCCTGTGATATGTTTGTTATAATTGTGGACAGCGCCATCAAGAATGACCGTAAGTGAAAATCACTGATGGATTAAACAATCCATGATGGCACTGAACTCATCTGAGAAAGTAGTTTAAGTAGTTTAGCTGCCACATCCAAAAATTTCCACCCCGATCATTTTTAGATAATAAACTTGATGTATTATTAAATAAATGTTGTAGGTTAATGTTCTGTTGATTGACAGAACACATTGTTCCACTGATGCTTTTAAAATATTCTGAATCTTCTGAAGTAACAATACAGTGAGATTTTATGGTGTCACCTGAACTTCCTCCCACACTGGCATCTCCTCTGGTGACACCCCCAGGTCACTAGTATCCACAGCCTGGCTTTTCCTCTTGTAGAAACCAGGGTTGCGGATGCGGCCCTGCTTGGCAGTGAAGCTGGTTGGGGTTTTATAGGTTCGCACAGTATTAATTTTCCTTGGCTCCATTTGTCCATAAAAAAAATCCATCTTCTTCTGTTTGCCAGTGAGACAGGAGGAGGATGTGGAGGGACCATTGCAGGCACTGCTCACCTGTGTGCAGGTGCTGGATGCTGTTTCACCCATACAGCTATCTGCTGTGTCTTCTCTTTCTGTCAGCGTGCCCAGGCTTTTACCTCTTCCTTTAGCCGCTCTCTGACCACTGCCAGCAACAGCTGTCCCTGCAGCTTCTCTGCAGCCGCCCATCTCCATACTGAACATGCGTTCCCATACATTGTAGTTTTCTAACGAATCAGCATTCATTACCGGTGCCCTGGCAAGAGCATTCCTCTCCTCCTGAGTTAGCTCCCGCTCATGTTCAACCTCAACCTCAGCCTCATCCTCATCCACATCTTCATCTTCTTGTTCATCAGGAATATGAATGTTATACAAGAAAGAAGGCTCCCATATGTGAGCACGAGCTTTCTTTGCTGCCACTATTTCTGCCTCCTCCTTCTCTAAGGCAGCCTTTTTTTGCCTCTGCTTCTCCTTCTTCCTTTCCTCCTCCCTCCTCTCTTCCTCTTTCTCCTCCTTCTCCACAGTCTGGATGAGCTCAGGAAACAGTTTCCTCATTTTCATGGAGTGAAACAGATGGTCCTGGTCTTTCAGGGCTATGGCTAGGTCCAGACATCCTCCATGCTCTTTTTCTTTCACCAGGTTTTTATGCAGCTCTGTGCTTGGATGAGAATGGGCGTCGTCAGTCGGCCAGCGGTTCCACTCCATGGAGCAACACACCACGCTGGCTGGACACACCTGGAGATGAGCTGCCTGCAAGGAGCGGGCCAGCTGCACCGGGCAGCCATATTCAGCATTTAAGGCTGTAGCAGGAATCACAGTGGACATGCTGTTGCACCCTGGAGGCTCGAGAACGATGACTCTGATTGGATTTAGGAGGCAAAAGGAAAATTAAGAAACAGATTGTCAGAATTAAGAAAAGTCAGGATTTTAAATAGTATACTAATATAACAAATTTCCATATTTTACTTTTCACATTTCACATTTTAAGTTATATACATTAGCAGTTATGTTGCATCTTTGGGTGGTTCACTAATTACAACCATGTGTTGTGCAGCCAGTAGAAGGAATTTTTAAGAGGAGAGCCTAAATTATTTCAGTTTATGAATATATTGAATGAAAAAGATAATAAAACTGCATAACTGTCAAAAGTTAAAACACAATATACTGTACTGTATATGAACAGTGTGGAATGAGATTATTTACCAACCATAAAGCTACTTAAGTGTAAATAAAAGGGACAATCTACATTTGATCTTTCATTTAAAAATTAAAACTGTACCATCCTTCAGATCCCCTTGCAATAATTTTTTTTCTTTTTTTATCTATAGTTGTAGACCCGTCCTGCAAACACAGAGGAAAGTATGAATATCAAAGTCTCACAGTACAACCAGCTTTAAAAAATGCATGTAAATCCACAATGGCAGGATACCAGCAGCGTTCTGTGGCATTTCAGTCAATAAGATCAATGAACTACAGACTGTAGCCTACCGCTGTCGGAGCTGGAAAGGAACATGGTGCTTGCGCTCTGTCTTGTGCTTTAAAGACCCAGTGTTTGTGTATCTGTCAGTGCTATGAGTGTGTTATAAATAGAGCAGAGTACTGACTAAGAAATGTCACACAAGCGGTCATAAACATGGCTTGGGTTACCAGCTCCCTCTGCCACTTTCATCAGGAAATCTGTCTATTTTCCTCTGATTCATAATGTGCTACTGCTGAGAATTGTTTGCAACCTGAAGAGAGCAATATGAGTTGGATTCAACACCCCAAACAGTGTCCTCTAGTGCAGACTTTAGAATCATCAAAGCATAATCAGTGCATGTTTCATGGCAGTCATTTCAGCAGAAGGTTAACTAAGGGGGGTATTTTGCCTGCTGAAGCTGTTTGGTGCTGCTTAGCTAATTTTAACTTGCCAGGTCAAAAAGCTTAGGGACCGAAAGCAATGCTGTAAAACTTGTGAGAGGAAACAACATGTCTGCGGTGGCACCTTGGTAAGACCTTTGTGTAGAGAAGATACCAATGTGAATGTGCTTAAATACTTTGATACTCTATCTTAGGCTGGACGTTTCACAAGAATGTGGAATAGGTACTTTTTAATGTGTTTTATACGAGTGTATTGAAGCCAAGTAACATTTGTATAAGTGCATGAAGGACAAAAGCTATGGCATCATTTTCCTCCAACTGTCTTTTTGTGCTTCTAATTACTTGAGTGGCCTGTGTCGCTGGTCATGACAATATCTATCTGTCTCAACGACTATTGGATGAATTGTCATAGAATTTGGTAGACATTCATATTCCCCTCAGAATGAAATGTAATACTTTTATTTAGACTTTTCATCTACAGTGATACCTTCATAAGGTCAAAACATCCATCCCATCTATCCGTTATTGTTACCACTGTCAGGGACAGCGTGTAAAGCTGCCAATAATGTCGGGGTGAACTCAATTATAGGGCCAGACGAGTAAAGGCAAAACACTGACTCTTTAATAAGAGCACTGGTAACAAACAAACTGTACACAATGCAGGAGTCTGATTCAACATGTATCACTCTCAGGTCTATAATCCAATCCAGGGTCAGAGCCAGCAAACTCACACATCCAAGGTATCCACAAGAAGAACGGTCAGTAAGGGAAGTCTATAAGTCGATGCACAGAATACAAACCAAATCGGAAGGGTTAGGCAGTAATCGGTGGACACAAGGCAATCCGGGGTCAGAGTTAGAATAATAAGCACAAGAAAAAACGCTGGAAAGTCTGAACATGAGTTAGAACAATCTGGCAGCTTCCTGGTGGGAGGAAGCTGCCTATAAATGGGTGTCAACAGGTGCAAACAATTTTCACTGAATAGGGTAAAGTGTCCGTAGCTGAGGTGAGACTGTAACAGGAAGTGGTGTCAGAATAAAAGCACGATACCAGAAGCAGAGAAAACAGAATCTTGACAACCACTTATTCCTGAATAGGGTTACCGAGTGGCTGGACCCAATCCCAGCTGATATTAGATGAGAGATGGAGTCCACCTAGGACAGGTCGACAGTCTATCACAGGGCTGACATGTAAACAAACAACCACATACACTCACTCCTACAGGCAAGTTAGAGTCATCAGTCAACCTAAGCTGCATGTCTTTGGCCTGTGGGAGGAAGCCAGAGCAACTGGAGAGAACCCACGCAGGCACAGGGAGAACATGCAAGCTCCGCACAGAAAGGTGTCGGGTCAGCCGGGGCCTGAACCCAAAACCTTCCTGTTGGGAGGAGACAAAGCTAACCACCATGCTACTCGGTCAAAACATTAATTACTAAATAACAAACCCAAGACTAGTGAGTAGGCAGAGAAAACTTGTTAGGGTTAGAGTGCAAATTAAAGTTTAAAGCTGTATCAATTTTCTGTATATTTCTTGCAGGATTACAAAACTTCTCATTTAAAGTCCTGTAGATATGGTGAGTCAGATTTGTCAGCTATAATTACTGATGTTGAATCATGTGCTATGTCTATGTTGGCTTTCTAGGCAAATCTCTATCCTTCTCTTTGATTATTTCATCTTCACTGGCTCCTCTCTTTATCTTTCTCATCCAGAGTCATCGTTCTCGAGCCTCCAGGGTGCAACAGCATGTCCACTGTGATTCCTGCTACAGCCGGCGCTGCAGGGCTCGGGTGGAGCCCTCCATGAGCTGTGCGCTCATCCCCTGCCGCCTGCACTGTGGAGCTGTCTTCCATCTTTGCAAAGAGGAGGATCACCTGCTGCTCTGTCCTAATGTGAGGGTGCCCTGCTTCAATGCTGAATATGGCTGCCCGGTGCAGCTGGCCCGCTCCTTGCAGGCAGCTCATCTCCAGGTGTGTCCAGCCAGCGTGGTGTGTTGCTCCATGGAGTGGAACCGCTGGCCGACTGACGACACAAACCCACAATGCAACACAGCCCTGCAGGAGAATGTGCTGAAGGAAAGTGAGGGTCAGGGTGATGCATTAGATTTTGCCATGGCCCTGGTGGATCAATCAGACCTTTACCACCGCCTGAAAATGAAGCCCCTCTATCCAGAGATGACGGAGGAAGAAGAGGAGCAGGAAGAAATAATGGAGGAGGAGAAACAGGAGATGGCAATGGGAGGGATTGTCAGTGGTGCTGCAGACTGTAATGCCAAGAAAGGTGAATCATGTAGTGTTGTTTTTAGTCCAAAACAAATACGATAACCAATTAAAAACAAACTAAAACAATGAGACTTCCTTTAACAAGTGTCTCCATACATCTGTTTTTTCAGAAAACGACTTGTGTGAGAATGATGTGGTCAAACTTCCTACACAGAGTAGTGTCGTACAAGACTCAGTCCCCAGCAAAGACAAATACAACCTGTCTGAGATAATGTTCAGCATGGAGAAAGGTGGCTGCGCTGTCGCTCAGGCAGGTCAAGACAATCCCGAACAAAACCCAAGACCTGGTGAGAAGGGGATAGCCCAGAGTGGGAGAGATTTAAAGGAGGCTGAGAGGCAGGATGGTGCAGCTGTTTCTAGAAACTGCCCCCTGCCAGACACAAAAAAGACAGGGCTGGCCCCATGGCAGGAGGGGGTGCTGGAGCGTCTGGGGCAGGAGCTCACTCCTCAGGAATACAACATGTATATGGTGCATCACGGGCGCATGCTGCTGGCTTTCGGACAAATTGAGGCCTGTACCCCGAGGGAGAAAGATTTTGTGTATGGCAGCCTGGAGCCTATTCCAGTCCAGACCCTGCACCCTACTTACAAGGTAATGATTACGCACTTCTTTTGTTTACTGTAAAAACAGAGCTGTTTTTTTAAAGCCTTTTAAAATATCAGTATGCTTCAGTCAAAGTGGCTGCCAGTGACACTCCCCAGCCATTCGACTCTGCCTGTGAGTCCATAAGCCACACATCTCATGCAGTCTCACACTTTTTTTCCCCACTGCACCATTATCTGTAGGTGCCTAATTTTAAAGTGTGGACCTAAAGCTATAGTGTTTGTTTTGGTAGCACTAGTAACCTAGCATGCTCATGATTTTACCTTTGTATTGAACTGATGTCATTTTAATTTGGGAGTAATTTGAGCTTTGAGTAGTGCTTTTTGTCACATTAGCAGTAAGCAGAGTGCTCTACTAGGCTGACAAATTTACTCATTAGTCAGATAACACTGCTTTTGAATTGGAGGCTGCTTATGGTATCAGTTTCATTAGACCCTCTAGGCTGAAAAGACATTGGGCAAATAAGATTTGATTTGATTTGATTTGATTTATTCTTTCAAGCATGTAAAGACAGTTGATATGACAACACACATACTTTTGCACATAATCCAATATCAATTTGCTTATACCTAGTACATGCTTGAATGGAGTAGGAAGAAGTCAGACTTATCCAGTCCTACCCCATGACATCATCTTACCATCATTGGTTTGCAAGCAGTAAATAATTCTCTTCTACACCACAAAATTATAACAGTGTTAACATTCTTACATAATTACTTTCTTAAATAATTTTCTTATACACCACACAATTAATGTACAAAAAAATTATTACAAGGTGTTAACATGCATACACCACACCCACAATATTCCATCTCATTGAGCCTGATCATGCATATATCTTGATTGACACATACCTTTATACAGTATTTATGTTTAAACTCATCAATTCTATTACTATTTTTTATGTCCGCACTTAGATTATTCCATAGTTTTACCCCACTTATGGAAACACAGAATCTTTTTTTGGTTGTACGTATAGCATGAATTTTTAAATTTAACTGACCCCTTAAATTGTATCCCCCTTCCCTTTCATTAAATAGATTTTGAATTCCACCAGGTAATAAATTGTTTCTGGCTTTATACATAAACACTGCAGTCTTATATCAAAACAGAGATCAACAAATTACATCATATTTAATCTGACTTATAATCACTTACCAAAGATGAGTTAACTATGCACTCTTGGCTTCTAATGTGACATAATATATTCACATGTACTTCATTCTGTAAGACCCCTGTTAGCTATCACTACGGGCGGCGGATCAATCTGTACAACACTGCAGTACGGGCTCAGAGTGAGACTCGCAGCGTAGACACGTCTGACCTCAGAGCCAGCGAAGAGGACTGGTTCAGTGATGAAGCAGCAGCCACCCTCCTGGGCTACGCTGAGAAGGAGGTCATGGGTCACAAGGTCAGCCAAACATTTTTGACAGTAAAACAATATAAACTGCACATGAGCAAATAAGGGAAATGAAAGTGGAACACCATTTGTATACAGTACTTTTTAATGTGTCAGGTCATAAAAAAGTTAATAATGTCCAGTGAAAGAGTAGCAGCTGTACTGAGAACATTAATACATCTGAACATGTTTTTTTACTGTTTAAAAGTGTCCATCAAAGGCAAAAATCAAATTTGATATACTGCTTGTAAACCATGCACATGGGTCAGGGTGTTGAAAAATGTGGAATAATAAAGTAAAGTAATAATAAATAAATAAAAACTAGTGGAAACTTTCACCTCTGCCTTTCAGGCAGTCATGGCTTCCATTCATTTTACTACTATACATCAGCTTAAAAAGAAGTATGTCAGAAATCCAAACTGTTTCTCAGCATCTTAAGGGTGCTGTGTGTTTTTCTCTCTCTCTCTTTGGAAGTAGCTTTCTAAGGAACATGAATTCCCCAATAAAAATAAAAAAATAAACAATTTTTAAAAAGATGTTATCAGTGGTATATTTCATGACTAAAACCAGTTTTAGGCCAATGTAGACTGACTTTCATATTGTGTAGCAAAGAAAGAAATCAGCTCCTTCATGCTGTCAGCACTTCTTAACTATGAGTGGAGAAACAGTGGCTTCCTCTTAACTATGAATGGAGAAACAGTGGCTTCCTGGACTGTCTGTAAAAATGATTCATGACTCCGTAAACTATCTAACACACACAAAAACATTTTCATGGTTCTCTAAGTAGAATTAATCAGGTCTCAATTGTTTTCCATGCAGATCAGTGAATCAAAAACATTTGATGGAATTTATGTTGATGTGGGAACACAGACACACTCATTCCGCTCATCCCCATTTAAAAAGACAACGACCCTGGAGCAGGTGATGGTGGACAAACCACTGAAGCTCCACCTGCAGCTGCAGACAGAGAGTGTGAACAGCAGACACAACAGAGCCAGCAGTGTCTTCACCTTCCTCTGTGGTCACACCTTCCACCGCAGGGAGTTTGCCACACATTACAGGTGTGTGTGAATACTACTGACGTGGTTGTGTTTGAATTTTAGTGTGACCTCCGCTGACCTGCTATGTGACATTTTCAGCAGTTTGTCCCTCTTCTCTCCTTTCAACTATGCCTTCACTGTATAATACATTTTCCCCTATGTGCTGATTTTGTACCCTAACTCCCCCTTTTTTGTATCTTTGGTTGAGGACAGAGGTTTTTAGCTGTTGCCTTAAAGGTGCATTAACTAAGATTTTACTGTGTGATAAATCCAGTGAAAATGCGACAGAACGTGGTGTCTCTATAGAATTAGAGCAGATCCTGTACTTATGCTCATTTGTCCACCACCCACAATATGCTTACAAGTGAGTGCCTTTTTTCCTGGTTGCGGGATAAAGGCACAAAATGTGAGGTGTGTTTAATCAACATATTATTCATCTTCTCCTTTTCAGAAATGTCCACAGTGACATCCAGATGTGTCTGAGTGGATGGTTTGAGCAGAGATGCCCACTATCATATCTGGGATGCACCTACAGCCAGAGGAGATTTCAGCCTTCCACACATAAAGCTACTGTGACCTACAAGTGAGCACAACTCACATCCATTATTTAATATTTTCACAACTTGAATTTTCTATGTTTTACAATAATGTATTAAAAGCATTATGAATACAATGTGTTAATGTGAAAGGGATTGCTTACCCCCACCACACACACAACAGTCAGCAGCTGAGGAGTTTCAACTTGCGTCCAACCCTTGTAACCTCAGTTGATGAAAGCTCCCAGGCACCCAGGGGCTCAGTGGGCTCTTCCTTCGACCAGAGGAAGCGAGGAGGTCAGGCAGGAGGAGGGGAGGACTCTCTGAGCTCACTGCCGTACGAGGTCCTGTGCCACATGGCCAGTTTCCTGGACAGTCTGTCCCTGTCCCAGCTAGCTCTGGTGTCCCGGCTCATGAGGCAGGTGTGCTCGTCTCTGCTGCAGGAGAGAGGGATGGTCACCCTCTGCTGGGAAAAAAAGACCTACTCACGTGGAGGAACCAAGTGGAGGGCCAAACCTGTGAGATATACAAACTGATACATTCAACTCATCCATCATTTCAGGCTTTTACAACCATGAATCCACTACTAACTGTTTCTCTTTCTCTCCTCCTGACTCCTGTTTCTCGCCAGGTATGGGAGTTCAGTCACCTCTTCTCCCCAGTGGATTTATGGCACATGGTGGACACCCCTCCTATATCTGCTCATTTAAAAGTTTGTTCTTACTATAAGACCTTTCTGCACATAGAGCCTGTTCCTCTCCCCAGCATGAGCGAGAAACAGGGGCGCAGCCAGGAGAACTGGAGCCTCATCAACCATTTCACGGGAAACAGATGGCAACAATGAAGAAAACATTTTATTCAACCTGCTGTGTCTACTTTAAATAATTTAGTCATATATTATTTGCAGTGATGACTAGATTATTCTGCACAAGTGTATGGATGTGTTTTGATCAGCACGTCACAAAGCATTACACAGAACAAATAAAATCAGCCTGAACTTGTGCAGCTTTTCTTTTTTCATGATCTGTTATATTCACATTACAGCAGTAAATCAAGGGTCTTGCATCGCCTTGGAGGTAATAAAAAGAATGTGACATCTCAGAGTAGTGTTATTAGGGCAGATGGCAAGTTTCCCCCAGATGTAGATCCATATAAGTTAACATAATGGCTGTTCTTAGCTACATTATGTGACACTCAGAGACAAGTGTTTGAGATTATTTAAGTAAAATCATGATTATTTGGAAAGTTGTAGTAGAGTGGCACCGGCTGCCCTGATATACACTGTTCTGCACGAGTCCTCCTTTTCCTGAATATATGATAAGTGCAAAATTAACACCCATACAGCCAGTAATCATATATTCATTCTCTTTCCTGCTGGTAACAACTGGTAGTAGCACCAATCTCCACGAAGCTCCTCCTCCTGCTCCGCGGCACTAATCACCCCTTATACAGGGCTGCTTTGTTGTGAAGATAGATGCCAGAAGGTTATGAGGAGGTTGTTTCGACTGACTGCAGCGGGATTCACTCACACTTAGAAATAAAAAAATCCATCCAGCTCCAACAGTGAAGCAGCTCACCGGAGAACAGAAAAAGACAGCAGCTTCTTAAAGGACAGAGTTAGGCTACCGAGGCGATACGAGGATCCATGAGAAACCCTTCGAATAGACTACCGCTCCAGTATCACGGTAGGCCACGGTCACAGGGATGAATGTACTGTTACAAGCAGACACTAATGACCAACCGTGTAGAAATCAGAGAGCTGCGAGTGAAATCAAATCAGCAACATTAAATAAGACAATGGGCTTTAGCAAATAAGCTGCAAGCATATAAACCTCCTAAATGTTGCCGGAAAAGCGCCAATAAGATCGTTATAGTAGTAATAGTGTGAGGAGTGTAAGGTAAACTATAAGAATAATGATAATGACTATGGCTGTTTTATCATTTTTATTTGTTTGCCATGTAATTGACACTTAAGCACCGTTCAGTTTAACAGAGCTAAAATTTGGACACCGTTCTCAAGCTGTAATACAAACAGCCAGAGAAAATCCCTCATCTTAACACATCCAGCTGCCAACATCTGTGTGCAGGTTGTGTGGGCCTTGAGCCATGGATGCCGGGAGGCTGGAGCAGCAGGTGCTCAGTGTGGAGAGAGGCATCGCCTTCCTGAAGCAGGAGCACGTAGTTATGCTGACGGGTCTGCAGATGGAGATCACACACCTGAAGAGACGCTGTCACGGTGGGTCTGACCTGCTGCTCTCCATCTCTTTATGTCTACTAACCACTTGACAGCCCGTTTAACTGTTTTTTGTCTGTTGTTTGTGGTTCTCATCCTCTTGTCTGCAGAGCTAAGCTGTGAGCTGGACTCCAGGTTTCCTGAAAGAAACACAGCAGGTAAGAGGCTATAACTCCTTTGCTGACAAAGGGGAAAACTGTAAGTTAGAAAAGGTGAATATATCAAAAGTATGGAGAGGAAAGGACAAAAGGCTTTGCAGAGCAGGACTGGACATTCACTTCACAGCAGACAAAGGACTTCACATTATAAAGGGAACAATGCTGAGCTATTGTGCAACATCATTTTGAAACATTTGCATTATTATAAACATTATGAATGATTATATTTACTCATATTTTAATGATATATGGTTCATATGGGTTTTTATCATTACGTATAGTTGTTAGTAATAGGGATGTCACATGTTTAAAGGTACAGAGATTTTAAATCTGGGTAAAGAGACCACTTCTACTGGACTGGTACTTAGTATCGGCTGAGAACAAAGTGAATTAGTGCGTCACTAGTTAGCTGTTTGTGACAGAACTTGTCCTGGTAACAATGTGCTCTGTGTTTGCTGCAAGAAATGCTCCATAAAAATTTTTTCCATGTGCTGCATCAGACAGATAGGTTTATTACTGAGCATGTTTACTTTGTAAGAGAAAATATAACATTTTTCATGAAAGGTTGGTAGACAGAAACATTTATTTGGAGACCAGAGCTTTCTATGTATCTTGTGAGGCTGCACTGAGTCATGCAACATGAGGAGGAAACAGAAAAGCACACTGAAAAGAAAATTGTTCAAAATGTAAACTGAGGCGAGTGGACCTCGCAGCTGAAATTTAAGATGAAGCACAGGAAAAATGTCCTAATGGATACAGTCATCATCCTCAACACTCTGTTTGTGTGTAAAGTGCATATAATATACACTTCAGTCCATGGAGTGTGTATGGATGGATTAGTAAAGGGGCCTATTGGACACAGACCCAGGCGCCCAAGGGTTTAGGGGCTCCCTAGACCAGAGCCTCTGTTTGAGGTGACATTTCTTGTTGGAAAGTCAATCAAATGACCTGAAAAAAGACACAAAACAATCACAGGCAGATGCAACAAATATACACAAAGTGTTTGCAAAGAGATGCGATATGACCACAGAGACTCAAAGCAACTACAAAAAGACACAGAAATACTACAGACACATAAACTGACTGCAAATTAATGCAAAAATGACCACAAAGAGAGGCGTAACAACCACACAGTCACAAAACCAGACACACAAAATTATCACAAAAGACACAGAATGACCAAAAAAACTCCAAACAACCACAAAGAAATTCAAAACAACTTCAAATTCATGCAAAACAATTACAAGGAGACCCATGACTGCAAACAGAGAAAAAAAGGCCACCCTGCTGTTGTTTGTAGTCACTTTGGGTCTTTTTCACTCCTGGGCTCTTGTTCCATTGCAGGAGTAATGAGCGGTTTTTTACGTGTCTCTTCTCAGGAGCCTGTTGTGTCATAACATGACAGTATGTAAAGTAAGGGTACCTTCAAGGGTAAGATAAGTCTGGAAAATGGTGTTGTTTACTGTGGAGCTCTGAAGATTTATGACAGCATGTCCTGACAGCCCCGTCTTTGGGGCCAAATAATGGGTAAACATTATTTAACTCGTACACTGAGCTTCCATATGAATGCGCTCCCATTCTTTGGCGCATTTAATTGTGTATTATTGACTGTGTTTATGTTTCTTAGAGGCGGAAGCAGAGCTGGCAGCACGTTGTGAGGCTGCAGAGTGTCTCCTACGGGACCAGCAGTGCATGATTGTCACTACACGTGGGGAGCTGCGGGCTGGCCGGGCACGAGCATCAGCACTCGGAAGGAGCCTCAGAGAAGAAGAGCGACATTTCCTGGAGGAACTGAAACGCCGCAGCCACCAGATCACGTTACTGAGTCGTGAGTTGCAGCGTCAAAATGTCACTACAACAACCCTCTGTCATGAGCTCCACAGCGCACGTTTAAAATTGTTTCAGCAACGGCAGTGCACAGACTCTGTTGCAGAAAGGGAAGGGGAACCCAGAGGAAAGGAGGAAGAAAAAGAAGAAGAGGAAGAGGAGGATGAAGATGATGATGGCGAGGGCTCAGAATGGCTTCTGTCTCCACCTCCTCCAGAGAGGTGAGACGCAGGAGGCGTGTCAGTGTGAGAGAGGAGAGGGTCAGAGCTTGCGTTCCGCAGGAGAGAGTGACATCACCACAGAGGCCACACCCCATGCCAGACCCTGCCCTGTTCCTGGTGCCACTTAGATACCGCCTCCTTCGCTTGAACCAACCAATCAGGATGCAGGATGGAGAGGGGATGGAGGATGAGTGGGAAGATATAGAGGACAGCAGGGTGCACAGAAGGGTGGACATGGGAGCAGGAGAGGGAGAAACTGCTCTGTGACAGATGAAGATGGAGAGGTGACGTCTTCCAGCAACATCTGATAAAGTGATTCTAGAAAAAGTTTGAGAGAAGTAACCTTGTGATTGTCTGTAGATTGCAGGAGGTTGATACTTAGATTTAGCTGCACAAGGGTGTGTGATCAAAGCTACACATAGACATATTCACTGAATTTGTCACACTGATGGTACAAAAATCTTAGTGGGTCAAAAAAGACTGAATGATGGTACTGTTTCATTTGGATGCCTTTTGAGTTTAATGATGTTGATCATGGCTTTTGCCTGTAATTAGTAGCCTTGCCTCTGGGTGTATGAACATTTACACCAAACTGTTCAAAGTGGCAACCTGCTTTTTCACTGCACTAGCCATATTCCAGGTTCAGAAAGTCGCACCAAAAGGCTTAGGGACATTTTGTATGATTTGCACTTTATTAAATTCATGCAATGTGCCTAGTAATGGCAGAACAGTATTTCTGTTGTCATGTTTTTTCTGATTTTTTTAGTGGGCATTTTTCACAGCAGATATTTTGATTTGCCATATGAGGAAATTCACAGGTGACAACACTAATAATGTGTCTGTTCCAATCAAGTGTCCCGGTAAACCATGGAAATGCACCAGAATGAACGACACTAGGACCCTGGAACAACTAAAGGGAGTTCAAGCATGATTAATTTCATTATTTACACTTGTGCTTTTTCTACTGTGGCCAAATGTCTTCTCTGATAAAGGCCCGTTGCACATGGTTATAGTGGTGTTCACAGGCTTTTAATCAAGACCCCAACTGTATTTTTTGTGCTGGCAATAGCCATAGCTAGAGTCATTATGTTTTCAGGTTCTTTCATTCCATTTTTGTGAAAGCGTTATCACAGGAATTCCTTGGACATCAAAGATGAACTGATTATTAGATTATGGCAGTCACAGGTCAGGGTCAATGTGTCCTCATGTCCACCCCATTCCCACAAACTTGACTGATTGGTGGAGGTGTACAACTGTGAGGTGGTCATTTTAGTTTATGACTGTAAATTGAATATCTTTGGGGTTTGACTGTTGGTCAGACAATATGAGACATCAGAAACATCTTTTGACTTAATTTTTTCATTATTTTCTTACATTTTATAGACCACAATTACCATAAAGTAATTAGCATTTTTTAAATGTAATTTAAGCATTGATAAAATACTACAAACTACGTACAAGTAGTCAACGTACTGTGCACCTGCAACCCGTCTCCTAGCATGAGTCCCCTTCTACAATGTTCCCACTGCTGTCTTGGTGACTGTGCCCAGAATTTTAATGTCTCTCTGCAGTGCTGCCAAGGCAACCAGAGCGTGTGAAGGGAGTGGAGACCAAATACTGGAGGTTTGTTTCTTGGACTTTGTGTCTTTAGAGCGGTGTGCTGAGTCATGCCATATCGTATAATTTTCACAAGGGCTCAAACTATGAATAGGTGCCAGACATCCTGCTCCTGCTATTTATACACCTTCTGCACATGCTCACATTCAAGGATGGTAGAGAGTGCGTGGATTGGTCTGAATACAGGAAGTTACATCATGACCAGCAGAGAGGTTGGCTTCTTCTGGACTGAGATGGATGCTAAGTGTGTGAATGTGTATTTATGTGTGTGACTAGAGAGACTCTCTCTTTCTCTCTGGCCATGAAAGGCAGACGCACACACATGCAGTAACATAGTTTGTGTAATATGGTTTTGCAGCAAGGACAGGGGAGAGTCCTGATCTTGAGGAAAGTCTGGAAAACAGTGTGCGGCAGGAGTAACACTAGAGGAGCCTGGAGATGATGACACATACTGGCAGTCCCTGGCTGGTAGGACACATACTGTAGATTGATCACACAAATGTCGTATTGATGTTGTTTTATTAATTCTGTTGTTTGAGATAGATGCATAGATTTCAGCTGCATTTTTGTTTTTGAATAAGATGTGTTAAGCTCTGATGTGTTCATGACATTAAAACTGTATCCATTTAGGTCTGTTGTGTTTAGGTTTAGATAGCTGAACTGTAACTTAAAGGCATTTTTACACTAAAACTACTGTATCTGTGTTCCAGGATTCCCACATGTCCATCATTATTCCAGAGATCATCTGATGGGATTTTGTCTCTGAGGTTTATCAGTCCTCTTCACTGTAAGGTGACAATGCTGCAGGAACACAATGTAATCTTCCTGTAGTCAGCTGTTGCGAGGGTCTTAGTTGCTTGCATCCACACGTCATACAAATGCACACACGTGACGGTGACAAAGCTGTTTACAATTTATACTTAGCAGCTTAATTCAAAGTGATCATGCATTTAGGGGACCTAAACTACTTAAAAGAGACACAAAGTGACTACAAAAATACACACAATGACCAAAATGGGATGCAAAACTACCAAAAAAAAGCACAAAAAAACACAAAGAACACAAAACAACCAGTGTGGGTGTTTCATATAAGACTGTAGTTTACCTCTAAGTTTCTCTCAATAGCTCGAAACCCTATAAACACTTTGGTCTTCTCTCCCTTAGGTCACCTGCACAGTTACATTGCAGTTTTGTGCACAAAGGCACCATGGGAAACATAGTTCAGTGCTGTGGCACATTGTCAAACTACTTTAAGTGTAAGGATGCACCAGCCCAGGGTGAGGCAGAAAGATCCCCTCTGCTGTCCAGTGAAGAGAGTGAATGTGAATCACCAAGTCTGCCAGATGACTTGGAGGACGATGTGTTGACCGTCTCTGCCAGTGTGACAAATCTAGCCCCTGAACCGGAGCACTTCCTGTTTCCTGATATCATTCTAAGCAGCAGCCTGGGAGGAGACATGACTCTGGTGGAGCCGATGGTGTGTTTGCTGGTGTCTGAGGAGGAAGATGGAAGAGGCGAGGGAGTGAGGGTAGATGAAGGACAAGAGAGGAGCAATGCAGGGAAAATCTGGGGGTATTCTGAGGTTGAGACACAGACAGAAGTGGAGACACAGATGGGTATGGGGGTACAGACTCAGACAGAGTCACAGGCAGAAGTTCAGACACAAACAGAAACACTTGTGTACAATAACAAGACTGTGGTGAGAGATGTAAACACGCTAACAAACACCGGCACTAGACAAGAGATGGCTGCAGATGTTAAGAAAGAACATGAAATGCTAAAACGGCTGGATGTGCTCTCAGAAGTACAAACAGATACACAAACATCACAAGAAAGACACTCAAGAATTGTCACTGATATGCTGCTGCAGAAACAAAAGAAAAGGATAGTGGATTCTACAGCCTGGTCTGACATAAACATTTTTGCAGAGCTAGAGTTACCAGGGAAAATGGAAACACAGCAAGAGACAAACAAACTGGCCTTTGGAGATATAGACAAGGAAGCTGAACAGGAAAGGCTGAAAGAGAATCACATCCATGAGCATATTCAAACAGAACACAGTGCTGAGCTAAAAGAAGTGTTAAACTCTGTTGAAAGAAATGTCTTCAAGTTGCAACAGAAAACTATTGGTGCTCAGGAAAACATAGACTGGATAGAGCAGCACATACTGCAGAAACAAGAGGCCATAAAAGACAAAGAACGAAACAATCAGTCAGAATGTACTTCAGTGGTGTTGACTGAACAAAATATTAACAAGGTAGATGTTGCAATGGAGTCACAGAAGCCAACAAAATACAGCATCAGAAACACTGATACTGTGCTGTCAGATCAGAAGGTAAATGAAGAAGAACATCATATTATCCCCACAAAAACTAACATAATTTGGTCTGAGGACCAGGCAGATTATATTCACTGCCAGGAAAACCTGCACACACCACAGAGGGAAGAGGACAACAACAAGACTGGTCTGCAGCATGTTTTGGAGTTAGAGACAGTTTTGCAACCACTGGAAGAGGATGGAGCTGAGATGAAGCAAAAAGACTTCGGACCTGCAGGCACCAGACAACAACACTGAACTATGTACTAAACAGACATTTACCATAAAACACCTGTGTATTCTGTCAGACTTCTGTAAATGACCTCAAACAATAAGCAACAATGGCAAATGAAAGCCAGGCATATTGCCAGTGTTAAAAAGTAGGTTAACCTGGTTTGGACAACTATGGTACCACAGCCAACAAACGGATGCAGCTACCTCATCTTGGAAAAGGTTGTTCTGTACTGAGAAGAGAGCCTTATCTAATGAATGTCTATGTGCAGCCAGGTATACACATGGGTGACAATTTAAAACCTGAATGAATGAGTGGTGTCTTCCAGGACGACAGCGCCCCCATCCATATAGGGCGCAGTGAGTCACTGAATAGTTTAATGAGTATGAAAATGATGTAAATCATATACTGTGGCCTTCGCAGTCACCAGATCTCAACCCAGATGAATGCCTCTGGGAGACTTTGGACCGATGTGCTAGATAGACAGTGTCTCCACCACCAACATCAAAATATCTTTTAGAAGAATGGTGTTATATCCAATAGAGTTCAGTCAATGTCAGGCTGCACTGAAGTTGTTCTGATGGCATGTGGTGGCCTAGCACCATTCTAAGACACTTTATGTTGGGTTTTCCTTTTATTTGTCAGCTGTTGTAGTTATTGTTGGGATCTATAAATAAACTCTGTAGACTGTAACTTTAATGGCAAATATGTACAACTCTCCTCTTTTGTCAGAAAAGTGCATAAACCTTGCACACTAAATAAAATGCTGCTAGATGAATGAGGAACCACATTAGTTTTACGTTTGTCTCTACTGATAACAAAAAGAGTAATATACTGAAACTGAAAAATTCTTAGATTTCTAAACGACTTGCTGTTGTCTTGCAATCCCCTGTGTGTCCACTAGGCTTCACCATTGTGCTAGGAACACTTTTCAGAATGAGATACAGTAGGTGGTTTGTCTACACCTAAATATCAAAATCATCTTTGTGGCTGGTTTGGATGTCTACTCTCCATTCATGGACTACTGAATGGGCCCATCGGGTACAAGCCCAGGAGCTCCAGGGTTTATAGGGTCTCTATTTGAAGCCCTGACCTTTTCTTGTTGGAATATCCAGCAAATTACTTGAAAGAGACATAAAGCAACCACAGAGAGAGACAAAACTACTACAAACACACAAAACAACAACAAATACATGCAGAATGACTGCAAAGTGACATTATGACCCAAAACAACTACAAAGTGGCACAAACATACTACAAAGACAAATTAGCAGAAATAAATGCAGAATGACCACATGCAGATATATAAAAACTATTCATTCATAGAAATACTGTAAATACATAAAATGACAACACAGACATAAGTGCAAAATGACCACACAGACCCAAATAACTAAAAGGAGACTCAAAAAGGTTGTTTAAAGTAACTTTGTCTCTCTGAAGGGTGGGTGCATTTTATAGATCTGTGCCTAGGGACCCATTATCATACCATGCTACTAACAGGCAGTTATACTTGATGCCTTATTGTTGTCATTAATATCTAGATGACTGTAGGGGAACATTAAGGATCTGGGCATTATTTTATCTCTTCATTCTACAATGAATCATATGGCCTGGGAGCTGTTTTATTGTTCAATTTGTGGAGCAGTTGCATGATTTGTCTTTCATTACATTCTGTCTTTAGTGACAAACTTGTCAGACTTTACACTTAAAATGGTCTAAATTCAAACTTGTGTACGTTAAAAATTATAACATGTCCAACTTATATTTGTGTTTTCCTTTTAATTATAAAAGCGTGGGACGTGTAAGCTGAGTGGCTACGCTCACCACAACGTGCGCGCTGCCGATATCCACACAGCGACCGTTAGCCGGGGCCGGGCAAATGCGGTACCAAAGAGGAAAAAAATCTGGCTGACCGTGCCGGCTGATGTGAAAAGTCACAGTACCACGTCGAAAGTAGGATTGCTATCACACGCTTCGACCTGTCTACGGGATATGAGAATCATAAATAGTCATAGGGTAAGTCTGAAGTTTTTTTAATATATATATACGTGTCTCTATTTGTGTTTGGGCACTTAGATAACACTTGTTATTTTTGACGACGAATTGCCTGCAGTGTCTGCGCTCTCCCGTTCCGATCTCAAAATGGCGGTGAGGCCGAAAGCTAAGCTAAGTGGCAAAGTTAGCATTTTCAACGAGCACCGATTCAGAGACTAGAGGACGATATAATCTAATTGTGTTATTATGTATCTATGTTGGACGTGACTGTCACTTTAAAAGCTGTTCTTTGTTTTTCGGTAAATGCGTGACTCCTATGGAGACACCTATACTAGCTGAACATTTGGCTAACGTTAGCTGCGTCTATTTATGGAAGTTCAGTGTGGATGAGCTAAGGTAGTTCGTTAACCGGCTAAGCTAACATAGGTGCTGCTATAACGTTATCACGGCTGGGTAAACTATTCTGTCGCTGCTAGACATTGCATACAGTAAATGCTATATTCTAAATATGAAATGTTGACCTTAGCTGTTGTGGGAAACTCTCAATGTTTTAATAACGTTATAATAGTTAAACCAGTACTGGAGGCTGTCGATATAACGTTAATCAAACGTGGGTTGCATATTTCATTTCCCTATACATTTAACGGGAAAATGTTAGTGTTAACAAGAAGATAAGTTGTTTAGGTGTTTGTTGGCTTAGATCAACGCCCCTTGTGTGTTGTAGTATGGTGGCTGTGTGGTTGTTTAATGCTAGGCTGCTCAAACTGACAGCTCCAGTTAACGTTATTGTGCTAAGCTAACGTTAGCAGGAAAGGGCGTTGCAGAGCCATTACTGCAACTTTGCCCTTGTAGCCATCGAAGCTAGGAAAGACGTCACTCCGGCCAGATTTTAAAATCAGAGCCATCCTCCAAAAGATAAAGCTGCCTTTTAACCAGTTTGTTATTTGTTGTGCATACTGAAATCTCTCATAAGATAATCTACCAGTTTTTGAGGACTCACAATCAGGGTGGAGACTACAAAAGGATCAGCATGAAAGAATTTCACTTGAGACCTAGCAAACCATCTCGTGATAAATTTCACTTGCTAATTTAATGCCTGCCAATGCCCAGTAGCTGCCGTTGCAAAGCATTAAATGTGAAGGCTCATGCCAGCTAAAAAGAATAAAGGTAACGAAACTTTCAGGGTTCTAGATATTTTATACAGCAAGGACTGCCTCCCCGATATCTCAGGGGTTTACCGATTATGTTCTCAGATACAGTAACACGTTGTTGTTGCTAGTTTAATTTTGCTACCTGTAACCCCATGTATTCATTTGCTCCTCTGGATGACAAAAACTACATCTATTAAAGTACAATACTTATTAACTGAAAAATCAAAGATATATTCGTATTGGGCTATGTTTGGCAATTTTGTCACTGTCTTGTTACATTTAAATCTTGACAAGACATTGTGTGTTTTAGATAAAGGTTCAGTAACTTCTGCTTTATTATGGGGCAGTAGACTTAATATCACAATACGTCCTGCTATGGAGATTAACATTGATTAATAAAAGGTAATGAAATCTTGTAGGTTGCTATTTAACTAAAATAAGATGGATCATAAAGTGTGATTTGTAATCAGACTTTGCCTTGTCAGCCACTGGGACTTATCTGGCCTGAAGTTTGCCCATAAGGAGGATATTGCTCAGGAACTTGACACAAACGGTATGATAGCTGACTGTCAGTGGTGTCAGTGCCAGTGCCAGTAATTCGCCCATAAGGAGGATATTGCTCAGGAACTTGACACAAACGGTATGATAGCTGACTGTCAGTGGTGTCGGTGCCAGTGCCAGTTTGTTTTGATATGTTTACATTGATTGTCTTCTAAAATTAGTGCTACTTTTTTGTAAATCTCCCCTTCCTTTAAAAATAGCATTAAAGTAGCAAGGAAGCAATGAGCCTCCTATAAATGTTATTGAATTTTATTTACATTTGTTTTATTAATGAAGGCAATTTTGACACAAGACTAAATTATAACAGTGAGTCAGGGCATGTATACCTCTGGCTCTACTAGTAAATGATGATTATGTAAAGTGGCTGAATGATCACTGAATAGGTGTAGGAACGTTGCCTTATGTGAAGATAATTTCAACAGGTTCCTGCTGGCATTTCTAAAAACTAATCCCTGTTTTACTGCATACAGACATTTTGTAACTCAAAATGCAAGATATCTCTCCCAATGTTGTCATGATTTTGAGTACAGTATTTGAAATTGTCTATTTCAACTCTGGTTTAGTTACAAGGTCAGTGTAGCCATTGTGCCTCAGATGTAGGAAGGTGTCAATTCAGAATCTTGCTTCATGAAATGTTGCCTTTTTTCTCAACACACTGGAGATCAAACCTGTCAACTATAAATTGTGACTTTATACTGGATGGCCCAAGTTAGAATATGGGATTATTTCTGCATAGGAGATAACCACAAGTGTTAACATTCTCTTACTTTGGTAGAATCATTTTATTGTATGAGAAGTCCCTGGTAGGAAAGTGGTTAAGGCGCAGCGCTCTCGCCGCTGCGGCCCGGGTTCAAGTCAGGGTTGCGTCAGGAAGGGCATCTGGCATAAAACACGTGCCAAATGTCAACATGTGAGTTGTCAGTGTGACGATTCGCTGTGGCGACCCCTAAACTGGAAAAGCCGAAAGAGACTTTCATTGTTTTGTATGAGAAATGGACTCAGTGGTCAGTCACACGGGCTGTAAACGATGCCCTCTACATTATTTCCTTTTGATAATGAATATTTGTCTGTGGGTGGTGGAGAGATGGACAGAAAACAAGGGGGAGAGAGAGAGAGAGAGAAGGGGAGACTGTCAGCGGTCAGGCTTGGACCACCAACGTCACACATGCACTTGTGCACGTGTGTGGTACGCTGTAACCATTTGGCTAATGGGGCATGACCCTTTGGTTTATAAGACTGAACATTTTCTCACTGAGTAGCACTAAGTGTAGATAACACCTTGCCTTTCAACACAATAAATGGAGGACTTTCTACTGATTGACATCAGACCTTACACCATCACGTATTTATTTAGCATACTTTCTGTATTCCTCTAAAGACTGTCTCTCAAATACAGATGCTGGTGAAGCTCAGGAGTCTTAGGCAGATTCAAAAGTTACTGATAATGTCTTTGTTATGTAATAGTCTAGAAGGTTGGTGTGGTGGTTCAGATGTAGGAGTGTGATGATACACTTAGCTCATGAGATGAGACGACATGCAATACTGGGTTCACAAGAACCCATCTGATATTTTAACACTGTTTTTAAGAAATCTACAATGACAAAATATATGACTGGAAAAATAATACAATTCGACTGAAAGTCACAAAATGCAAAACAGTGCAGGTGCATTTTGAAAAGTTTTAATTAATCATCTTTTGAAAAGTTTTGACTAATCATCTTGTAATGAGTGTCACTTCAGTTTTACTTTGAGTATGAATTATGCAGTAAAAGACAATATGCAAGTGCTGTGCAAGGTTTTGCCAACAACTTGACTAACTGGCTTCTCTCCTGTATGATTTCAAACCTTATAAATGTGCATCAAATCAAATTTTATTTGTATAGCGCCAAATCACAACAAAAGTCATCTCAGGACACTTTACAAAGTAAGGTCTAGACCTTACTGTTATCACTATTATTACATAGGGAAAACCCAACAAATCCCCCTTGAGCAAGCACTTGGTGACAGTGGGGAGGAAAAACTCCCTTTAACGGAAGAAACCTCCGACAGACCCCGGCTCTTGGTGGGCGGCCTTCTGCCTCGACCGGTTGGGGTGAGTGGATAGAGGAGAGA